CGACTCTATTTCCTTTAGAACCATTGGCCCCAATCTCTCAAGCAGTAGAGCTCTCAAGGGGCAGATGAGAAGGGCTGCTCCTCTTCTTTACCGCTCCGCAATGGAATGCATGGGTTGTGCAGATACACTGCATAGCCACGCCCATCAGTAGGTCTTATTTTCGGATTAGGGCTTATATTGCACAAATGCTTAGAAATCCTGCTAGGGCATGTCTTATTTTCGTAGAAACACAGTAATTCAAACACAGAAAACAATAAACAATAATAAATTTTTCATTAAATTCGAAAGGATTGTTTTGTTTTTGAAGTTTTTATTTTATTTTTGTAATAAAATACTATGGCCCCAAGGAAAAATTTTGTTTTTGTAGTGTGGCAGTGTGTTAAGAATCAAGGCATCTGACTTTGGGTTGATACTTTCCTTATTTTTTAATTGATGTAAAATTCATTTAATATAAAATTTACCATTTTAATTACTATCCTTTAGTATATGTAGCAGATTGATTCTAACACCCCCACTCTAAGTGTACTAGAATCTGTGCACATTCAAGTCCCACAGTTGGCCCTGTGAAACTCATATACATGAAAAGTCAGCCCTTTGTGTATGTGAGTTTCACATCCCATGAACATTATATTTTTGATGACTGTTTGGTTAAAAAAAAATCTGTGTATAAGTAAACCTGTGCAGTTCAAACCCAGGTTGTTCAATAATCAATTATATTTTAAAATATATACTCCAGTGGCTTTTTTTTTTTTTTTGGAGGAGATGTATTTTGTCTTCTCTGGTTTTTTGTTTTTAATTACATTATACACTGCTTATGATACTAGTTTCAAAATGCTAGTCTCTTTATGATCATGAACCACTTCCTTAACTCTAGACAGATGTCTTATAAGTGCAAGTAATCTTGAGCACCTTTCTTCACTATCACTAAGCACACATTTGAATTCTAATTGTATATCCAGCCAGTCTCTCAATAAAAAATTATATCGGGCCGGGCGCGTGGCTCCGCCTGTAATCCTAGCTCTCGGGAGGCCAAGGCAGGCAGATTGCTCAAGGTCAGGAGTTCGAAACCAGCCTGAGCAAGAGCGAGACGCCATCTGTACTATAATAGAAAATAAATTTTGCCAACTACAATATATATAGAAAAATTAGCCGGCATGGTGGTGCATGCCTTGTAGTCCCAGCTACTTGGGAGGCTGAGGCAGTAGGATTGCTTGAACCCAGGAGTTTGAGGTTGCAGTGAGCCAGGATGACGCCATGGCACTCACTCTAGCCTGGGCAACAAAGTGAGACTCTGTCTC